ACTCTTACTCGCACTTGCGTTTTCTCAAATTCGCACACACTCGTATGTATTCAACATGGAACTTAGCCTTGACACACAAATTTTTAACAGGTCTCAAGTTTCAGGCAGCAAAACGCCAAGGAGATGTCATTCATTACTCTTGGCTATTTGATTGTTGTTCGCAGAAGAAGCTTCTTCCTTTACAGCCGAAGTTAGCCTTCTGTTATTATGCTTCTTATTCTATATCTGAACCTTCTTTTGTTTTTACTCTCATTCTGTTCCTGTTGCCTTCTTGAAGGTACTTTCTTTTTCTTTCCAACTCATCCAAGAAAAAACTGGAAGAAGATATTGATGAATTTTCTGATTCCTTCTACTGGGATGTCAATATGGCCGACTTCAAACAGGTAGAGTGATTTCAGACCATTTAGAAATTACTCCAAATTCCTCTATGTGAAAACTGAGAGGCTGGCTGCTTTGTTTCTGAACTGTAACTTGGAAAAAGGGAAACCAGTGTATGGAACCTGCCTCAATCATGCATTTATTTTCGTTATTGCGGTTTTCAGCTCTTAAGCAACATTGACCGGAAGGAAGATACTAAAGCAATTGTCTACTACAAGAAAAAGTACTGCCCAGAGGAGAAATGGGCTCGCTTTCATGGTTACTGCATTTACTTCCACATTCCAAAACAATCTTTGTAAGATGATTGTTTCTTTATTACTTGACTAGGATCCATGCTCTTACTTTGTTGGGCATCATAATCTTGGAGTTAGAATTTGATATTTGTTGTCCATGCATGATAGAAAAAATATGGATTGGAAAGTTCTATTGGAACTTGCAATGAGGAGGATGAAGATTGAAGTTTCCATGGGCGGTGGCAGTGTTGCTGACAATCTGTCTCATGCTTCTCATGTAGTAGTTATGTCTTTTCTGGAACTCAATGTGGATTTTGATACTCTATTGAGTAGGTAAGCAATAATTTGTCATATAATGAAACTTAGGATCAAAATGTTTTAGTTATTTTAAATTACCTGTGGAAATGAATTTAAAATTCCAATTGAAAACTTTGATGCGAACTTCTTGACAAGGTCCTTGTTTTGATTCCTGTTCCATCTTCGAGCTTTTTGTCCCTCATTAAATTTAGCCTCTCTTTGGCAAACTTAAAAATCGCTTGTAAATCATTTATAAATAGTCAAACTTTTTTTTTAACCACACATTCCAATGGACTCGAGTATTATCTGCCATTCATTTCTATCTATTTATAAACTAAACCGTTTATTAACTCTTCCCAAGTGGAGTATTATTGATCCATATACATTAAGGATCAGAGTTAGCTCTACCCAACTAGATTATATTGTACTACAGCTAGTTATCTGGAACATAATGGCGGGAATGAATCTCAGGACATGAACAATTCTGGTCTTTTCCTATGCATTATCTCTGAGTTACCCATATTGTGTTATGCACATCTGTGTAAGTTACTCTGTTACAACAATCACAATTGAAAGGAAATATGCCCCTGACAATGTACCTTTTTGTTACATGATGATCAACTAAAATGATTAATCAAGGTTAAACATTAATTATAATCAAGCATGGAGTTATATAGATAATAATCACTCTCCATTTTGTTTATCAGTTTCTCAACGGCAGATAGGCGTCTGTTACATAGTAGAAGGTTGCATGTTGTTGGCTCTCAATGGTTGGAAGACTGCTTCGAGAAGGACCAGAAGTTGTCAGAGGATCATTATAGCTTGAAGCCCCCAGGTTTTGAAGAGACTATTGTTGGAGAGAGGTAAGTTTAGTTTATCTTTTCTATCATACTCCTATGATACGGTTTGAATTTTAATTACTTAGGCTTAACGAATCCCTGGAACCCCCGTCCCCATCCCCAAAAAAAAGGAAAGGAAGAATCGAAGAAATTGTAAATGAAGCTTTAAAAGAGCTAACAAAATGGCCAAGATGGCCCACCTTCTCATGTCATGTGCATATACTATTTAAATTAGGAGAGTTCCATTTACATATTATGTTTGGGATTGTTGAAGATATGGAAATAATAATCTCTATGATATTTTTTCAATAGTGTATGGTTATTTTCCTTAGTAGTTATTGTATAATTATTATATAATATTTCCTTTTAGAGTTATTTATAGCCCAATAAATAGGGTCTTTTACTTTGTAATAAAAACAAGTTTATTATATACAATTTATAATATTCTTCACATGGTATCAGAGCCTTTTCTATAGAATTTTCTCTTGTTTTCTTGGTTAGGTTTTCTCAAGGCGGGAGGAGCTTTTTGCTCCTCCCGTCCGGTCCGGTCTTCGCCAAATTGAATCAATTTTTTTTTTCTGTTCATATTCCTTTTAACGTATCGAGGAAGTAATTCAAAATCAGCCTCAAATTAAGAGTCTTTGTCCACATATTTGTCATTCCCAATCCCCTACACGCTTCTTGATATTAGCCTTCATCTACATTACAAACAAGGACAAGTTTGGGAAAGGTATTGCAGCCAGAAGCTTGTTAATTGCAATTCGTGACAACGGAGGATAGCCACTCTTGCCCAGAGGCCTTTTGAGCCAATTCAATTGGATGTCGATGAGGAACTGGCTATTGTACCCTACATACCTCCAGTACAAGTTCTTGAGGCAAAGCCCTCTGAAGAGAGTACTTCTTCGACTATACCGCACTCAATCAGAAGAATGAATAAGCCTACTACATACTCCAGTTGTCAGCTACAAAAGTGAATCATCTGCAGAAAATGGTAGTAAAGGGACCGATTTTGTAGAGAAGATTGGCAAATACAAAGGTATTAGAGGCAATGGGAAAGAACTAGAACACGCTACAGAGAAAATGGGTCAGTGCGAACCCTATTGAGGAGGTTCCAACTCCTGTTGAACCCACTATTGAGGAAAATCAAACCACAGAAACCCCTACACTAGTTGCTGATGAAAAAAAAAAAATTTTCTCCCAATTTGAGTCTTATGGTGAGGATTCTACTAAATCATCTTGAACTACTCCACCGCCAACGAGAAAAGCAACACGGGAAGAAAGGGGCAAACATTAAGTTGGTATTTATGTGGATTGACTGGGTTTAGGTTATTGGGCCTGTAGGTATATTTGTATTGTGTGGTTATGGAAGGGCTAAATTATGGAATGGGCCATGGGCTGTAGTGTAGTGGGCTGTCTAGATATATTTTGAGGTGAGGTATAACTATTTGGTTGGATTTTGGCTGGATTTGGGCTTTGTTTAGTAAGCTCTCCATTTTAACTGGGGTGTGGATAATTGGGCTGATTGATTTTATTGTTAATTGGTTGATTAATTTTACTGTGGACTGAAATTTCTTCGCTAAATTAGGGAGAAATAGATTTGACTACTTTTTACGAGGGATTTAACAATTATAATCTGATATTACTACTAAAAAAAAAGAGATGGGAGTGAAGACCATTAACTTTTGGTGAGTGCAGACCATTGAGTTTTGGTTGCTCAAGTGATGAACTAGAGTTTTGGTTTCTCGAAAGAGGATCATCTTTAGGTTTTTGGTGTAGGCTGTTTTGTGGGATTTCTTCCACCTGCAGTATCTAGAGTTTTGACCGATGTTTTGGCGTTAGAGCTTTTATCGGTACTCGAATTATGTGTTCGACTAAATTCTCCCGACAAATAGAACTCACTCTGTGTGTCGGCACACTTCGTAAATTTCTTTTGGAAATTCTTCTTGGAGAGAGCGAGTTCTCTGGAGTATTTTTGGAGCGTTCTTTGTTGATTATTGCACTATTTGTTTTTTTGGTCTCTCGTCGTCACTAATTTTCGTTGTTGGTTGCTCTGATTTGGATTTCTACTTCATGGGCACAAATATTGTCACTATCGCCAATTCATGATTGCA